TTGTCCTGTTGGCTTCCATGGCCATAAAACCTGGCTTTCCTTTCCAAACTCTTTTGTTTGTAGTAGCTAATTTAGGTTCCAATCCTGCGAGGACTCTTTGAAGTTTCAAGTGCAGGGAAAACACTGGTAAACACAGACAGCGGCTTGGTAACAGGACATTATATTCTCCATGGCAATTACGTAAGTTTGCGCTGTAGCTAAAAGCCTGTCATGGGCATTATCTAACACTATCCCACATCAAGAAAGAGCGTAATCCAAATGTCTCTTTATTTAATTGTGCAGGGCAACTGCCCAGATAAGAAGAGCTATAAACTTAATCCAGCCAATTATTCTTTATCTGTTGTAAGGTTTTTCGAGTTTCAAGCAAGTTCCAACCTGAAAAGAGTTTGCTGCAGAAACAGAGCATTAATATTAAAATGTTTCTATCAGAGATGAAGCCATCACATATTTTGAACTTGCACTATCACTCAAGATTGTTTTAATTCATAATGGTGCTCTTCTGGATTTACATTGCTATAAATGAAAGGAAAAGTGAAGTGGCTCCTCCTGAGCAATCCCAATCTAAATCCAGTTTTGAATCCTACTTTCAGGTAGCATTTATTCTCCCATTTAGCAAAGTAACGCCTAGTAGCTTTCAGTCTGGTTTGAAGCACTACGCTTGGGCATGTTTGAAGCTGTAGTTTAGATTCTGGTAGAGGTGTTCATTAAACTGATTAAATCTAAACAGTTTAAGACTTCAGACTGTTTGAGTTACACTTTTGCAATCTGGCAGAATTTAACCTGCGTGTTTTGGCACAAATGAAATTACAAGAATCTGTGTTCAAGCACAACTCTACTTGTCATTATCTGTTTTGCAATTGTATATTATTTGCATACTTTTCAGAAAACCGAAACATCACAGAGCTTGAAAATAACCTGTTAACAATTATTTTTATCTTTAATGGTTGTTCCTACATTAGATACAGGTTTATAGGTGAACCTGAGAGCCTGAAGTCCTCTATTTGGTGCAGTGCTTGCTCCTATCTACATTTCACTGGAGTGGCAGCTGTGCAGACCTGCACTTTCCTGTTCAGATGGATGTTGTATGTACTCCTGTCAAGTGTGATCTGTGAGGGCCTGGACAGGGATCCCCAGCTAGCTGTAGTACTTCTTACACTGTTTTCAATTAGTTTGATGCTAAAGCTGTGATCTACACTGCTTGGGCTTGATTATGAAAGAGAAGTTGGATATCAACTCATTGGAAAATGCATTTGTTTTGCTTTGTTTTTCTAGCTGACATTTGTGATGGGTTCTGGAATTTTCCTTTTCCTTTTGGACTTGCTCCTTTGCGTAAACAGCCACCATGGGGTGGGTGATACAATCTGATGACCTCTAGTGAAAGCCAGCCAGAGGCTTCCCAGAATTATTGCTATTCGTCTCATGCACAGATTGCGGTTTTTGTTTGAAGTCTGTCACACTTTTGAGTTATAACATGGTCGGTGTTGTTTATTTATTTATTTATAACAAGTGTGTAAGATTCCTTCATAACACACAAAAATTTAAAACTCGGTCAGAAAGAGTCTGAGATACTCTCAGTTGAATCTGAGATATTTACATGGCCTCTCATGGAGGTACTTGAACATACCATCTGTCTGTGCTGTAGAGAATAGCACACTTGGATCTCTTTGAATGAAAGTGGTGGGTCCAACTATGTTGGAACTGGATCTAGGCTCCAAAGTGGGCTTTTTAAGAGCCATGAAATTCTTTTCCCAGTTTTGTGAAAGCACATTTTAACCTTGAGCCTTCCAATGATGTCCCATTTGACATGGCCAAATGAATCTTTTACAATTAGTAGCATTGTCCCTGCAGGACCTCGGTTTTGCAGAAGACCTCATTGTTCACTGCTAAGGGTGCAGCTGGGGGACACCGCACTGCTACTGAGCACCTGCCACGAGGAAAAGCACAGGAAGATGGTATTCGGTTTAATGCCCTATGTGGGACACATATCACCGCTCTTGGAGTTTGATCTTCAGATGGTACAAGGGGAAGTTATGGCTCCTTTGTACAGTAGTCATATGTCAGTAACTATAAAAGCATTGAAATTGTTACTCGGTGAGGAAGGAGCCTGTGCTAAGTTGTTTCCTTGATCCAGCAACACAAACATAGGTAAAGGTCCCATTGCTGCCTTTTAATTATATATCATAATTCATATTCTGATATTCACCTCCTATTTATGTGATGTTGCCTAGTGTCTGTGTGTTTTCTACATCCCTTCCTCTGTCTCCACAGCCGTTGTTGTGTTCTCATGCCTGTCTTGATTACCTAAACTTGTTCCTGCCCTCATCTGTCACAGTTGGATGGACAGAGTCCCAAACAAATAACCTCTCCGCAGGGACAGATCCCTAAAGCTATCGATGCAAATCTCCCTTCTGTCCACTGGTCACAGTTTTTCATTTGCAAGTTGCAGACAGAACTGCATACATGTGACAGGGAGAGCTGGGATCCCATTGCTTTTGAGCTGTATCAGAGAAAAGACACTGTATAATACCACGTAAAGTTTGACTCTTTTTCAAACGCCCCTTCTTTTCATGATTTCCTCCAGGGAATAATTGGGAATGTGTAGTGTGGTTACTGCATATTCTCCTTTGATATATGCACATAAAAGATGGCATCCTCCCACAGAAGGATTTTTGCTTGGAGAAATTAAATGCCCAAGTATGTTTAAATTAATAAATCATTCCTTTTTAAGTGTGTCTGTATTCATGAATCATATGACATGAACTAGGCAAGCTACAACTTCTTAAAAGCACATGGTGTAATAAATGTGTCTTGGAAATAGTCACTTGAACCATTTCAAAACCTCCTCTTGATAGCAGATTTCAAATGCTTAACAACTTGAAGTGGAAACTAAATTTTCAAAGATTTTTTCACTGTGAGATAATTTGTCAGTAGGGGACAACCTGACAGCTATGTTTCCGTTGAAAGTTAGTACTGATGGCTGCAGCCTCTACTAGGTACCTTGCAGGAGGTGTCAGTTCTGACCCAAGAGATGCTCTGAGCCCATACCCACAAGGTTTCAGATAAACCAAATAAGCCCACAATTTTGAGAGTGTCAAGTGGTGCTCTGGGTGCAGTGGACTGCAGCGATGCTGGCTTCAGCCCAGGAGGCTGTACCACTGTGTACATGAAGCACTGACCTATCTAGTAAATCCTGCCTCTCCAAAGATGGCCTGCTGTGGCCGTACCATTTCTGAAGCGTTCATACCATTTCTGGCTGCAGAATGGGAGTTAGTTGGTGCTAACCTGCTCACCCATGTAGAAATACCTGAGAGGCTTTAATGTATTGACCCTCTGAAAATCAGACCCCTTTAAGGGCATCTCAAACAGCATGCTCAAATATCAAAGCATCTCTAGTGTTTATTAACTGTTAGAAAGTAAGGCCGTAAATTCTCATTCAGATGGAATAATTACTTGTAACCTGCAATAAAGCCACCAGATTTTCCAGTAAAGACATTGTGAGCTTGTATTCATTAATGTCATTACAACTTGAGATCATTCAATGGTTAGCACTGTTTACATTCAAGTATTTATTGTGTTCTTTCTGATCACTCTTTACCCTGCCCACTGGATAAGTCCTTGCCTTTGTTTAGCCTAGAAATTGCTATTTTTAAATGGTTGACATGTACTTATATTTTTAGCAATGCCATTTTCCCAGGTGTTACCCAGGTTTCTTCCGGAATATCTAGGACCTAGCCAACATAATGAATCACCGACAGAGTTTTCTTTTTTGCAATAGGAAATGGCAAATGCTTGAAACAGTGTCTACCTAAAAAAAAATGATACTGATTTTCCTGTCATTTCTGTAGTGATGCTGCATGCTGCCCAAACACATGCCTAAGCATTAGATGGGACCTTGGGAATAAAGCATAGAATCCTATGTTAGGCAGCTCAGCATGGTGTAGGTTGCACTGGTGATCCCCAGCAGCTCAGTTCCTGAGCTAGGTTAGGCAAAGAGGCACCATAAAAGATGGGGTGAATCCTAGACCCTGCCTCTGAGAGCACATGTTAGCAAGACTTCCCTTGCCTGAGATAGTCACCTCGACTTCCCAGTCACGCAACCAGCCTCTCCACCCCACTGCATGTTCATTTTCTAGGCTGCTGGTTCTTAAATTCCTTCTGGCAAAGCAATACAGTTTCCAACACATTATGTAAGGTTCATGTTCGTCACCTCTTAACCTCTAGATGTGTTTTTCTTTTGATCTGTGTTTTCCAACATACCTAAGAGCAGGCTGTGCCTAAAAGAGTAAAGGCACATTCCTTCTGAAGCTACGTATTCATTTTGTTCAATTAATATTGTGTAGAGAGTGCACTGGTGGGTTTTGTATGTGTACATTACTAGAAACCAAAATTACTGTGTGCTGGAGATAAAATTAGTTTTTGAAATTCCTTTTCCCCTTTAAAATAAAAATAGCAGGATCTGTCTTTAATTGACCACCTCAATCATCACAGAGGCTTCCTGTGTGCAGAGGCTTTGCTTTTAATATCTGTTTTCCCTTGGCTTTAAAGAGTAGTCTTTAATTGCAAGTTTATTATAGAAGCGTTCAAATTACAGGTGGGCTGAAACCGCAGAGTTTATGTCCGGATATGGATGCAACTTTCTAAAAGTTTCATGGTCCAGGTTTTCGATTGTCGTGACAAGAGATTACAGAGGTGTCTATAAAATTCAGGTTCAGAGCTACATCTCCTGTGTGTGGAAACACAACACTTTGGTTCAAGACCTTCTCCACAGTGTATTTTGTAAAGCAGATTTCTTTAGTGGATTATTACTGGGCTGACAGAGAGGAAGAGCTTTCCATATTTTTTTTTTTCAGATGGGAATGGAAATGCAAACAGTACTTTCCTAGACACATAACACTGCGAACACTTGTCATTCAATGCCATATGTTCACAACCTCTGTTATCGTGTTGAAGCCCTTCTTCTCCGCAGAGCATCATGATAATTTACACTTTTCTGTCACAGGGCTGGGAGAAGGTTCTGCTCTTCTTCACCCAGACAGCAGGTCCCACCCTCGGTCCTTGGAGAAGAGTGCATGGAGAGCTTTCAAGGAGTCACAGTGTCATCATATGCTGAAACACCTCCACAACGGAGCCCGGATCACTGTGCAGATGCCTCCCAATATTGAGGGACACTGGGTCTCTACTGGGTAAGGAAAGATAGAACAACACGCTTGAGTGATATATGTGGAAGAGAAGAGGGGAAGGAAGCAGAAGGGGAAGGAGGAATATTCCCATTATAAGCAGCAGGGGAAATACTTTCTTTAAGATGATGATGCTCTAAATTTCAGATGCTTTCTGTATGTCTATGTATAAAAGGAAAAGGAGCGGCATTATGTACATTAGAATAGCATGCTATAAAGCTGTCCTGATGGATCAATTTATAGTCTGGATTTTAAACAGCATGCTGTGAAAGATATTTAAATCTCCTTTTTTAATAGGAAAGAAGCCCAACAAGTTGCCAAAATGGATGCTTATTCAAACATAACATTGTACTATCTTTGACTACATGCATTAGATCCATTGAATGGGTCCTTATTTTCAGAGCATGTGTCTAGCACAGGTTTTATTAGTGAAAGACATTAAGAAGCTGTGTTTCACCAGTTCTGTTATTCTCTATACATGTTGACCTTTAATTCAGAGAGATACTTTGCTTTCTGTATCTCAACAGGCAATATTCGCACGCTTGTTTGAAGTGACTTGTAGTAGGAAAGACTGAGGTTTTTAATAGAAAGGAGTGTATTTATGTTAAGCAGTGTGGATGTGACAAGGGGGACAAGTTTGAAGGCACAAAAGGACTTTCTATGGGAAGTGGAATTTAACTGCCATTTACAGTGTCAGAAGACAAAACAAAACAAAAAAAAAGAAATAAAAACCTCACAAACCCTGAATGTTACATGGTCTAAATTCAAGCCAAATAGAAGGTTTGCATTAACAGTCAGAAGTTTGCATTAGCTGCCACCCCTGTTGAGAGTCTGAGTGGAAAAGCTGAGGACGATCCTGTGGGTCCTGTGCAGACCAGAGCTGGTGGAGCTCTGCTGAGGAGCTAGTACAGCAGCATAGATGCCAATTCTTTGTACTGTTGTGTGGATGTTTGGCATTTCACTTTCTGATGTTATCAGTCCTTTTGCATAGATCTGCCAGGCAAGAGAGAGGAATAGTTGTTTAATGATCTGTTACTTTTTTCAGAGAAGAACTGTGTCACATAGGAGTCCCTAGTCAAAAAGGAAAAGCAAAACACAACTCAAAGTATTTAAACCTACAAAGATAAAGCCCTTAGTTAGATAGGATCACCATGAAGCGGTATCTTCATAACAGTGGAAGAGCAGAGGAAATTGTTGGTTAATTGGCAGGCCACAGATGCCTTGTTCCTATTTAGTCCTATTCATGCCAGAGGGACATTAGCACCCAGGTGTCTCTATGTACCCATGCAGTGTTGCTTAGTCTTGTTACCTGTTGCGTACACGATGTGCCACCTTGCTAAAATTTTGTTTCCATCACTTTCTGTCTTCCCACAGGTGTGAAGTTAGAGCAGGCCCAGAGTTCATCACAAGATCTTACAGGTTCTACCACAATAATACATTTAAGGCCTATCAGTTTTATTACGGTGGCAACCGCTGCACAAACCCTATCTACACCTTAGTTATTCGTGGCAAAATACGCCTCCGCCAAGCATCCTGGATCATCCGAGGGGGCACTGAAGCTGATTATCAGTTACGCAACATACAGATCATATGCCACAACGAAGCAGTAGCCAAAAAATTAAGTGAGTTGGTGAATAATACATGTCCTGGATTTGTACCAGAAGATAGTCCCTGGGAGCAGGATGTGAGCTACGATCTGCTGAGAGAAGAGAATGGCTGTGAATGCACCAAAGCTCTGAACTTTGCCATGCATGAACTCCAGCTGATCCGTGTGGAGAAGCAGTACCTGCACCACAATTTGGACCACCTTGTGGAGGAGCTATTTCTTGGGGACATTCATACTGATGCTACTCAGAGGAGATACTATCGACCCTCTAGCTACCAACCTCCTCTTCAAAATGCCAAGGTATGTGTGTGTATATATATGCCCTCTTTTTAAGATACGAGTGACAAAACCCATGTTATTCAGCTCTTCTGAGTCACTGCACTGGCATAACCTAAAATGTAGATGTGGCTCTAAAATAAGAGATGGATTGCACCCTTACAGATGATGAAGCCAATTAAAGCAAGGTCACAGAGTCTATTCCTTGAGAATATGCTTGAGAAAACTCTTCTGTAGTTTATGTGACTGCATCAAATGTGCAAAAAGCAGTCTGGTGAAATAAGGTCAATAAGGGCCACTCTGAAGATGGAATCAAAGACTTGTATGCATGGATGGGAGTGGTAGGCTGGGACCTTGACTGTAGGCTAGCAACTGAGAAGAGAGAAAGCTTGATACAGGGCTGAGAAAGGAGAAGAGAAACAGGCATCAGTATAGCTGCAGGAGTGCCAGGGAGAGAGGAAATAGGATTGTATCAGCATATGGAAGCTGGCTGATCCATAACCTGAAGAGAAAAAGGGGAAATTGGAGAGTAGACACATGAAAGAGGCAGCATGAAGGGAAAAAACTGATGGGCTGTGCAGGTCATGGATCCAGATGCAGGCACACATATTAATGAAATGAAAAACAGGTGAAATTTGAATGAGGCTCTAATTCCATTTGATAATTCAGTTTTCAAAGGGGCCTCAAAGTGCCCTCAGCTTCATTGGGAACTGATCAACGCATAGTAAGTTTAAAAATCAAACAGGAAGAGTAGACGTGGATGGCCTGTAGCAGGAGGGCCCTCTATAGATCATTCCTTGTGACATTTCAAAGGCAAGCAGCGATTGGAACCACATTGCCAGCTGCCGCTGCTGCCAGTGTGCTCCAGCTGGGTGCTGCTGCAGCATCACTTCCAGCTACTGGGTTATCACCATTTTTAATCATCTCATCACAACCGATTCAAAAATCAGTAACAGCTTATTAGCAATAGCAGGAAACACAACAGGGAAAGGGAGAGTTTTGATGAGAAAGCCTTGGCTTTCCCTTCCATTCAAAACCAGTTGCGCTGGGTTGCCTCTGCCTGTAAACATCAAATTTTAATGGCTCAGGACCTTATGTGATCTGCCATTAATCATTTTAACAGCCTGGCCTAGGGATAATTTCAATCCACAGTCAGCAATGTCCCTGTATGAAAGCTGCTGTCATTTCTGTAATTCTTAAGCTCTCTTCAAGGGATCAGGAACAAGTTTCCTTTTTCTTTTTTAAACCTGTGTCTTCCCAAAGTGGAGAGTTTCAGCAACACCATATGAACCACAGCAGGTTCTTCATCAAAATGCTGGATTCAGCAATTTCACTTTTCTTCAATTAATACAAACAATCACATTGACTTTCTCTTTGCTTATTTGGGTTCTTTCCCAAATTTCTTTCTTGCGGGTATCTGTAAGTACAAATTATCTGACACCAGCTATTTGTTTTACCTGTTCTAGAAAATATGGTAGATCTTTTTCTGACCACATGAAGCAGAGACAAAATCTTGACTTAATTCAGCCTAGCTGATTATTTTTTCAGGTCAAATCTAGTTGTCTTATTATGGGTTGATAGATAACTTGCTTACACTTCGACCTTGTAGTAATTTCATTACAGGATAACGAGGTGTACTGTCAACCAGCTTTGTAAAAATAAGATTTATGTCCAGGTCTGATGTAATTTTAGGACACACTGGTAAGGATTTTTCTGCCTATCTCTTCTGCTACCTTAGCATCACTTTTTCCCTCTAAAAGATAACGCCTCTAAAATGTAAAGCTCAAATTTAAGGGATTAAATCTTGTATAAGAGATCTCTTCCTCAAACCAGATTATCTAAAGAAACTCTGAGAGAAAACTCCCATTTAGATTCACAAAGCCCATTATCTCAGGCATGATCTGATCAAGACCTGAGTGGGTGACACTGTGGGAGATCTATGTGAGATGAGAGCGGGTCCTGCCCAGGGGTATCCATGTGCTCCAGACAGGGAGAGGCTGTGGTGTGGATCCCAGGGGAGGCTTCCATATCATATATTTACAAGAACTGGAGGAGAGGAAAAGCAAACAAGCCAACCAGTTATCCATTGGTATTTACGAAGTACAGTGCTTCCAAATAAGATTTTTGGTAGCCAGGTCTTGGCAGAGCCTGAATCTCAAGGCTGAATTTACGACACTGGAAGCCCATTCATAAGAGTGCTGTTGGCTATAGAAAGTGTTGTTGTGTTAACTTGTGTAAAGCACAAGTTAACTCAGAGTACACAAATATATGTACAGATTCCAGCTGCCCCCAGGTCCTGACTTGCAGGCCACTGCTTAACTCCCAGTTTGGCCAGTTACAACTTCTATGATACCTCTGTTTCTCCTCTATCCTTTGCCTGCACGGCCTGCTTGGCTCCCACAGTGTAGAGATACAGCAGCTGGACTGCTGGGACACCAGTCTCAGTTGGAGCCTTCAATGGCAAAAGATGAGTACATTTAACACAAGTTTTAAGTGTGCAACAGTGCAGCTTCTCTTTGTTTTTTGGTAGGTTCTTCTTGCTCAGATTTGATGTGAGATTACTTTTTTCTCAAGGGAATTTGAGCCTGCTGGTACTAGGCTTTCAGCATGATATAAATAATGATACCCCTAAAAAAACTCAAACCTTTGCCTCAGCTGCCATGAAAGACTTCTAGGTGTTGGCTTGTACCTAACCGTGAAGTCCTCTATACCAACAGGTTTGCAACCTGGCTGTCTGACCTAGTGTTTGCCAAATGTAGGAAGAATAGTAAGAGAAATACCTTTTTTTTTTAAAGTCCAGGCAAACATACTGCTGAAAGGTTATAACCCTTCTTCTTTGAACTCTTTTCCTTTTCTAATTGTTGCTCCACTGGGACCCAGCTGAAAATGAGCTTAAATGCTAAATTGAGTTTAAAACTACAAGTCACAGACTCCTCTGGAAACTGGACACCATGAATAAATAGAAACATTAAATCAACCTGTTTTTTTAAGGTTTCTACAGTCATACCAAGAGGTTGGGGAGGCCAGGAAATTGCTTCTGAAGTGAATCAGGTGTATTGTGTGGAATCTTTCATTTAAGGCTTTTTTCATTTCCTTTTTATTTATTTTTATTTTAAACTTATAAAAGCCTGCCTAAAATAAGTTAAGAGGATTCATATTTTGAGTTAAATTTATAGTTAAGCCTCTATATAGAAGAAAGTTCCACCCAGCTCAAGAGTTTACACAGCCTGTAAGTTGGATGTGGTAGCCACATTCATTACTTATGTGGTTGAAATGAATGGTAATTAAAAGCAAATGATTGCTGGATATGTTAGGAATGCCAAAGCCACATGATCAGGACTTTAAACAAATAGAATTGGACCTTCTCCAGACTCCTGCAGCGATTTCACCACAGGATGGTAAATCAAAACGGTTGTCCAAAAACCAGACAGCTTTATGCTGAGCTACAAATCTGAATAAATTCACAGATTAATGTATCTCAAGTGTTCATATAAAATCAGAGAGCTCTTAAAAATATATATATCATCTCTTCAGGGTTTATGGATTCTCTTAGATAAGAGCATACCTCAAACAAATTGCTCCTGTAAAGTACCTGGAAGTTCTTGAGTGCGGCTGATAAATAGGTCACTGTATAGATTTATCTTAGCGATCCTTTGGCCTTGCTCAAGATATCAATTAAGACTTGCTGACGAATGGGGCTGAACATCTTTGATGTCTCTTGATGTTGCGAGTTTATCAAGGAACCCGAGCTATTGCACATGCACCTTCTTTAGCCAGTGTGAGAGCACACAGTTGGAAAGACCAGGATGGAGGAACTGCTTGGCCATCATTATGCCTGTCATACAAAATATTCCAGATTAGGACAACACCAAGGAGCCTGCCTGACTGGCCATAAAATCTCATATTATTTATGAATGCATACAGAGACTTACAGCATGAAGGAAGGCCTGAACGCAGTATTTGCTATGCAGAAGGACAGATGTTTTCAGAGAGAATCTGCTCTAAAACTACAGGAAATGTGTACAACAGCAATGCTGGGACATTTCTTCACATGTAATTGCCTCAGCAATAGTGCTTTGTAAACAAAGAATTCCTTGTGCTATTTTATCATCCAACAGAGTATTGGGAAAGATCAGAGCAAGGCTGTGAACGGTCATTCTAGTTAGGTCATTATTGAGAAATAAGGCTGAGGTGGTCTGGAACACCACAAGAAGCCTAAAACGTGCTAGGATAACTTTCCTTCTGCTTTGCCATGCTCAAACATTGGCTGGCCACATGCTTTCAGTAAGACATTTTCCCTTGAAAATGCAATTCCAATGGATGGATTATCCCTTATGAGTTTATTTGCTGCTGGGAGCTGCCTTCCAGCAGCACCTGGCATATGCAGCTAATACAGATTCAACATATGGAGATTGGTGCTTGGGCTTTGCTCTAGCCAGGCAGTGAAAAAACAAAGTGTGCAAATTTCGTTGTGCTTTTGAAAATTTGGGTCTTCATCTCTTCGAAACTCAGTGACTTCATCTGTAGGAGAATGCTATGTACTCGAGAAGCTCCCAGGGAAATGAGAGCATAAGTTCATAAATAGATGTTAAACATGTGAAGCACCTCAGAGAAATGTGCAAAACATTATCTCAACCAAAAGGTGTAATTTTGAAGGACAAAACTCCTTTGTTTGCCAGAGTAGTGCCACTAGACTTCCGGATTAAGTCAACACTTGAAGGGTTAATTTTGTTCATTAGTACTTGCAAAAGACTCTTAGTTAGGGAAATTATGAGGGAAGGAGCGAAGAAAGAACACCCAGAGGAATGTTCAAATAGGTTAATTCCAGGTTTATGAACAATAACTGTGTGTGTGATGCCCTGCAGAGATAAGAGAAGCAAACAGCTTCTAGCTGAGCCTGGTCCTCACCGTGCTCTGCAGTGCTGTTGGCTGTGTCCTTGCAGAACATGCTCCTTTGAAGGTGCCACTTTGCACTCACTGCCTACACCAGCATCAGCGCTGAGCAAGGGCTGAAGCAAAAGGTT